AAACCCAACTAAGCTCATCAATAAACTCGAAACCCTAAAGTTGCAAACACACACATACCCCTGAACTGATGTAATATTCTAACATTAAATTAGATTGTCTGCAGCACTGAAGTAATAGCATACCAGTATATCCACATGGCTAAAGGAAGTGAAAATTTAGCACTAAAAACTTAATATATTATGATCAACTTAGTTCTTCCTTCTGAGGTATATTGTACACCAGAGAATAAAAAAGAACATAAAAAGTGTTATTTAGTAATTTTGTGCTGATTTACACATTTTACTAAAATTATGAGGGCATGTAAGAATATGATGTAAGTTATTTACTAAAATTATGAAGGCATGTAAGAACATCATGTAAGTTATTTATTAACACTGGTAGGTCTTAGAAGTACATACCAGCCAATAGCAAGTAGGTAATTTTCAATATAATATCATTACTACATTTTTTGACCATTTTTCTAACATGCCTCAAAATATCAAATCATTATTTCTCCTCTTATTATGAATTAGCAAGATTCTTAGTTTAACACATTTTTTTGATTGCTTCTCAGTAAAAATTTTTCTCCTCCAATGAAAAAGAATTGTCAGGATGTAAAATATAAGTATCACAATTTAAAAAAAAAAACCTCTAAAATTACTTTCAAGTCTTTACAATCACAGTGCACACTGAGAAACCAGCAGTAAGTTAGTGGCATTAAAAATTAAGATTTTAGAAAGACAACTCTGAAGGTCACATATGAGCCCTAAAGAATAAAAATAACAGGCAGCTAGAATTATTGTTTTATTTGAAAGAAACATAGTACATCGCAAACAGATGTGGAATTTCTAATCAAAAAATTCTGTGCCAGTTACAGAATACTGTAAAATTAAGTAATATTTTTCAAGGCTCTGGAAATGCTAACAATGACATACGTTTTATGGTCAGGAAGGTCACTTTTTATTCTTGTTGCTTTCAATTTAATGTCTGTTATGAAATGTTCTGTGTAACTAGCCCATTTTCTATTTTATTGTTAAAATCCTATCATGTTTCTAATCAATATGCCAAATACATTTCTGGAAAAGAAAGAAGTCCAGAAAAAGAGTATTTTTCCTAGAGCCCTAAACAATAACCTCTAAGAAATATTTTCTATGATTAGCAAATAATCCCAAAACCTGTTACAGTAAATTAAGTATATCCTATCCTATTAAAAACAAGCATTACCAACAACTATTAGTGTATGTTTTAGAAGAATAAATAAAAAACTACTACCCACTGCATGTTATCTCAGTAAATTATGATAAGTAAAATACTTATACTTTAAATTCCATTCTCTTAAGATACATGCATGTGTGAAAAATCATCACAGGAAACCTATTTTTACATTTCCTACATAAAATCCCAAGAAACTACTCTGAAATCATAGAGTTGCCATGGATTCAGAATTTTTGTCCAAAGTTCCTAAGGACTGAAAACAAAGAACTTACTATCAGAAGCTATTTCCTGTATGCAAAATTTCTTCTCATCAAGATAGGTAATTCTCAGCATCTCAAGAGACACTAGCACGGGGCACAACTGTGAGCAGCCATGTGGAACTAGTTTACCGTCAGTTGCAGACTGCGCTTTTGGCTATATGACAGCACAGGGAGATATAAAACACTGGCGTTTTAATTCCAATACCAGTAAGGCAAAAAAGTGAGGGCAACGGTACTAAAACATAATAATACGTGTCAAGCATTCTACTAAGCACCGTATAGTTAATCCCCACTTTTATCTATAAATTCTATTATTACTCCCATTTACAGATGAGCCAATTGAGATTGAATTTCATTTTCTTGTCTGGGGAAAGCAACTTCACCATGATACTACCCACTGTAACTTGTCCTCTCACTGCCTGTAATTTTCAGACCCTAGCGTTAGTAATTACAAATCATACTATGCATATTTTCTGTACCTGAAGCAAATGTTTATGAACCAATCAATACTAGCGGCTGTCACTCCAAGATAAACCCACTTCAAAACTTAATCAGACAATGTGTCTGACCATAGAAATGGCAGGAACAAAATCAAGGAGTAGAAAAGAGGAAGCACTTACAAGGATGGAGACACACACTGTCTCTTTCTAAACAACTGTAAACAGAACCAGCAGAGGTGACTATGGTCTTATTTACCATAAGCATCTAAATAATCACATCTCATGTATTCTTGCTAACAAGCATCTGCATGCAACTCCTACCTTTTGGGCACCTTCTTTACTGTCATTCCATTCCATTCCTCCCCCTTTATACTTTATTCCATTCAAACATACACTTCCATAAACATATGTCTTCAAATAAGATCTGCAGGGGTTTTACCATTACAGATAAGAATCTTCAGTTTTATAATCCTGTACCAAAAGTAGTTCAAACACAGTACCCAGAAAGAAAAAAAAAGTGGGAGAGAAAAAGGAAAGAGGGAAGGAAGGAAGAAAGGAAAGAGGAGTAGAGGGAAACAAGGAAAGAAGGAGAAAAAGAGAGACAAAGAAAAAGAAAGAAGAGGGGAAGAGAGAGAGAGGGGAGGGAAAAGGAGAGGAGGGGAGGGGAGGGGAGGGGAGAGGAGTCCACCGAATATACTATGTGAATTCACTAGAACACTTCTCAGAGGATCAAGAGGCTTTCAAAACAAAGGATTAATTCTAATGAATGTTGGAAAATTAAAATAAAGAAAAATAATGATCTGTAAAATCTAAGCATTCAAAATATCAAATATATGATATCTGAAACCAGGTGACTGAATATGAGGGTTCATAATCCTAATCTACCTATTATTATATTTGTTTGAAATATCTATATTCAAAAAGGCAAAAAGAGTTAAGATATGGACAAACTTAGAAAAGCTCTCAGAATTCCTACGCCTTCAGGTGACAATGAGATAAGCTAAAACAAAAGCTTAGCATTTCTAATACCTTCACAGAACCTACACACATGAAGGAAGGAAAAAAGAAAGGGAGGAAGGGAGGAAAAAGGGAGGGAAGGAGGGAGGGAAGGGAAAGAGAGAGACAGAGACAGAGACAGAGACAGAGACAGAGACAGAGACAGAGACAGGAGAAAGAGGAGGAGGAGGAGGAGGAAGAAGAGAAGGGAGAGGAGGATAAGGGGGAGGGAGGGGACCAAAACAGAAAACAGATTCTTGTTTACTTAGGCCAGGAAAAGCCAGCCTCTTTAATGGGGTAAAGGCAGAAGTTAGTTTCTTAGGCTTAGGAGGGCAGGTGAGCACGGACCCACTCTGGACTAGTAGTCTGCACATACAGAAGCAGCTCCTGCAACGGGCTGCTTCCTTCTCTTAATTTAATGACAGCAAAATAGGGGCAGATAACTAGGTTGTTTAAAATTTAAGAGCAGAAAAATAATGACAACTGACAAAATAATCACAAAGAAGCAGAGGAGATATGGACTAATGGTATTTTTCTCTGGTTACTAAACTATATTTTAAGACAGAAATGACATGTCTGACTCTCTCTGAAATCTTAGTCACGCATGTTTTACCTTTGTAGCAAAGACAAATACATGTATGTGGGGAGGAGAGTGCATATTATTAAAAAAATTTTTTAAATTATCCACTTCATCACAGTGACAGAATGTTACTCCTACACAACATGGAATTACATTTAAGATAAATGAGATTAAAATTGTGTAATAATAAACAGGAGAAATAAGACAACACTTCACACTATTTCATAATAGAAAATATTTTAAGGTTTTTTTATGAACATTAATCACACTTGAACGTGTAATTAGCCCTTGAACATTTTTTAACAACCAAAATGTCACACAGTAGTCACAGACCTAATCCCAGGAATGAAGTAAGTCATCATAAAGTATGTTTTTAGCCCTTAGTAGGTGTTCTCACGTGTTTAACATCGAAAGAACCTATATGAATTGTACACAAGGTACTACTTACTACACATTATAATTTTTAGAAGCATATAAAATAAGTGAGAAATTAGTATTGTCAGTCACCATTATATTTTCAAATTGATTTAAAATTACAGACAAACCAAAATTATACTGCTAAGATGGTGTTTTCAGAAAAAGTATAAGAATATACTTTAAAGAATAAAAATAAATTTGAGAAAAACTAAAATAAGCTCTTAGCAATGAAATAACCATAACTAAAATTCTTATGAAAGGAAGCTTTACAAGTATATCTTAAAATGTGAATAAATGTGACATCAAATGTACATTTAAAAATTATCAAATAAGTGGCAAAATTATCTTAAAATGTAAAATTTTACTTGGTAAAATTCGATTTATGAAATATGATCAGTACTAAAACCAAACACACAATATGAGAACATACACATAACAGATGCATGGCAGTGAGGGGAGTTCATGTAATACGCAATCAGTATCTCAGGGCAGAATACCAAGAATCCATCACCGCACTCTGCCTCCCTGGACCAAGGCAAATTGTTAGAATTATGTCAAAAGAAACACTTCATATAACCATTTGTAACAAACCAGAAATGAAGTACTAAATAAAACCTGTTTTCTATCCCTAATCTTGAATGGTAATAATCTAAAATATCTGGACTGACTTTTAGAATATTAATTTAAAATTAGAAATGGATTATGTTTTCCTATTTTTTATGACGCACACAATCAGAAATGAATTTCAATAAATTTTCCACTTAAATTCTAGGCTCTATGCTGAGACAATCACCATAAAATTCAATGAATATAATGCTAAACTTCAAATCTTGGAAGAAATAAAGGGATATGATGTTTTCTTCTGAAGAAACAAGCACATGCTTTGAGGGTTGATAATGAACGTACTTTGGACCAAAATACAAATACAGATAAAACACAAAAGGCAATACCCTTTCAGTACACCAAACACATTCTCTCATTTAGATAGGGGAGTGACATGAGCATTAAAGGCACTGCATTTCCCAAGTTTCTAGACTTTTTTGTAACCAACAACATGAAACAGAATAAAGGCTTGATTTATGGCATTAGCAAAGACGAAATTTAACACTTACTTTTGCAAAGGCTTCAAAAATGTCAAAAGAAGGTGGCAGCTGAGAAGCATCCTGTATTTCTTCTCTCATGAAATGTTGAAATGTCATTGCAAGCTGCCTGAGGCCCTCTTTCTTATCTTCAGTCAGTTTGTTAATATCTTTTTTAAAAAGAAAATAAGTAAAACAATCACAAAGTGAACTTCATGGATAATTTTCAGGTGTTCAATGTTAGCCGTTAAATCAGATTACTTCCTGCCTTACATTTCATTCTCACATCTTTTCATTTCTTTTAACAACCATAAATCATAACCCATGTTATCAATTAAATTCTGCCAAACTTTACTTACAATGTAAGATCAAACACATATGAAAGAAACTCATGCATACAGATTAAAAAGCATTAAAACCAAAATCAGTAAGTTGTGTGTTACCTGATTTCCTACATTACATCCTTTCCACATGTACAAACCATAATAAATCCCTCTTAAGTCAATGAATTTAAATTGACTTTTCCATCCAACAATTTAAAACTTGATCATAATTAAATGATAAATTTTATCATTTGAAAGACAAAAATGACAGAAAATGAGAAGAGTTAAGATAAAGTTCAAATAATTGATATTTGTCATATAAAGTGTACATAATGAAGAAAACATGGACGAACTAAACAAATCTTAACTGCAAGTTACTTTAAAATTGAATAAACATATATGGTGCTACTCTAAAACAAACACAAAGACACAGTTGTGGTTGTGTTTCTTTCTCCTTCTGTCTGGCCTGAACAGAAAGACTTCACCAAAAAGAAAATAATGTTAGGACCAATAATGAATTCAATGAAGCAGCAACATGTCAAAAATCAGCAAGATTTTTATATCAGTAAAATGTTTATATATTAATAAGCTTATTGAAATAAAAAATCAAAAAGGCACTCATTCACAATAGTTATTTCAAAGATAAAATACTATCTAGGAAGAAACTTAACCAAGGAAGAAAGAGATCTCTAGAATAAAAAGGGTGAAGCACTGATAAAAAAAAAAAATTGAAGATATAAAAAAAAGACATCCCATATACATGACTTGATAGAATTTCCATAGTTCAAATATCCATAATCCCCAAAGTGATCTTCAGATTGAAAGCAATCCTCATTAAAATAATACTGACATTCTTCACAGAAATAGAAAAAATAATCATAAAAGTCATATAGGACAACAAAAGACTCCAAATAACCACAGCACCACAGCAATCCTGAGCAAAAAAAAACCGGAAAGTTACTGCCATCACAATATCTGACTTCAAAATATACTACAAAGTTATAGCAGCCACAATAGTATAGTATTGACATAAAAAAAAAAAAAACAGATCCAATACTACAGAATAAAGAACTCAGAAATTGATCTACACATACACAACAAATTGATTATCAACTAAGGTACCAGGAACATATATTAGAGAAGTGACAGTATCATCCATAAATTGTACGGGAAAACTGGATATCCTTATGCAAAATAATGAAACTGTCTTTTAGCTTTCACGATACACAAAAATCAATTAAGCATGGATCAAAGACTTAAATGGAAGACACAAAATCATGAAACTACTAGAAGAAAACATAAAGGAAAAAAAGAAAACATAAAGGGATAACAGTCTCAGCAAAGATCCTTAGGATACGGCCCCAAAAGCACAGCCAACAAAAGAATATGGCAAACAGGGTTACATCAAACTTAAAACTTTTTGTACAAAGAAAACAATACAATGAAAAGACAAGCTACAGAATGAAAGGAAATATTTGCAAACTATCCATCTCACAGGAGATTAATATCCAGAATATATAAGGAACACAAAACCAATCAACAACATAAAATAAATAATAACGGTCTAATAAAAAAATGTGGACTTGATCTGAATACAGATTTCTCAAACTATACAAATGGACAACAAGTAAAAAAGTTCAACATCAATAATCATTAGAGAAATGCAAACCAAAATAATGAGATATCATCTCACTCCAATCTATGGCTATTATTAAAAAGACAAAAATAAATGCTGGATGGCTATTGGTGGAGTGTAAATTAGTAAAGTCATTACGTAAAACAGTATATAGCAGTTCTTCTAAAAGCTCAAACTGGGACTATTTTATGTTCTAGTAAATCTACTACTGAATATATACAAACGAAAAAATCACTATATCCAACAGTTACCAGCACACACATAAACAAGTCACCAATGCTTCCACATTTATTACAGCACAATTCACAAAAACCAAAATACAGAATAAACCACATGCCCACCAGTAAGTGAATGGATAAAGAAATATGGTGTTTTATATATATAATGAAATATTACATAAAAAACGAAATATTGTCATTTTCAAGAAAGTGGACATAAGTGCAGGAATTAATAATACTGTTCTACAGTGAAGTGCAATAAATATAGTATATGACAATTTATGACATATTTTGCAACTATAAAAAGTTTAGGTTCCCAACACACAAAAATTATAAAATTTTGAGATGTAAATGCTAATTGCCATGACTTTATCAATATACATTTTAGAAACTGAATTATTGTTTTAGTCACTCTAAATCTGGAAAGACACTGTGCCAATTACTTTTTTAAAGAGGGTGGTTTAAAAGCTAATATAAACTTCTTAAAATCAATGTAAATGATAACAAATAAATTATACTATTTAATTAATAATATTTGAAAAAATTTCACTTAAAGCAGTATGTATGACAGTGCCACTGAGCAGGGCTAACGTTTATAGTAAAACTCACTGTAAGAGGTGCTAATTATCTAACATTAACACAAGAAAAATTGACTAATTAGTTCTCAAACTTGAAAAAACATATCAAGTTGAACTACAGAATAACTGCGTTTCTCATGTCAGGTGTGCATGTTTTTCTAAATTACTTGTTCAACAGAATAATTAGCCCAGGGATTTCTTAAATAATAATTTATCACCACTGGCACTATGGATCCCATAACCATAAATCTGTACTAGATCACCATCTTACTTGTCTCTATCCAGAAATATTAAACTGTAGCAAATTTACTCTGTTGAGCTTTAGCAAATTGTGGGTTGATATCATCTACAACTTCAATGAAGAGAATCTTTGCCAATATAAAAGCAAAATAGGGGGCTGGGGATTTAGCTCAGCGGCATAAGCACCTGCCTTGCAAGCAGGCAGTCGTAGGTTTGATCCCTGGTACCGATAAAAAGGAAAAAGACAAAAAAAAAAAATCCTAAAAGCAAAATAAACCTGATATCTGCGTGATGCCTAGATCTAAAGAGACATTCAGTCATTAGAATGAGCTGCTCTTTGGCTAAGGCAGGTTAGAACAGCAAAGCTCAAAACTGTCATAGAGCCCACAGCATCAGTACCTTCACCTCTCCTTAATATTCAAAGGAGCAGAGACCCTCAAAGGCCTTCTGGAAGCACTCTATTTAATTACATCACTCTTTCCTGACAAAAAGAAAACAGAAGAGGAAACCAAGAAAGAGGAGAAAGGGGGGAAAAGGAGAACTCAAAGAGAAATTTTGCCAATTAGACTAATGGTTACATTACCCTGACTAGTCTGAATACCTTTAAGTAACTTACAGACTTCTATATAGTCAAAACTGTCCTGAAATAAAATAAATAAACCAAGCTGTTAGCTGTTTATAAAATGAAAACTTCTTAAGTTTGTTTCAGACAATAAACAGACAAAAACAAATAAAGCAGTTTTGAGACTGATGTTAGCTCAGTGGTAGGCTCAGGTTGCAGAGCTGTACACCACATACAAACATACACACGAATGACAGTTTACTAGCCCAGTATGCAAATTATTTTTCTCCTTCAAGATGCTCACAATCAGCCCTTGAGGATAAGTGCCCCCTAGTCAGCCCACAGCCAGCTGAGAGGAGAAGCCATACCCTAAGGCCCTACTGCCATGGTGTGGGGAGCATAGAGGAGCTGCTGCCACACACCTCTCTGACACTTTGAAACCTGCAGTTGGAGGAACTGAGGTGCCTAATCCAATCCCCTAAACCATGGGACAGGCAGCCAGTACAGGAAGCACCCAGACTACGTAACTACCTGGTTCTGAGGAACACAGAAAATATCAAGACAAAGAAGCAAGGTGCAATCTCAGATCTCCAGCTTACTCAGAACAAGTCCAGGAGATACAGACACAAAATAAATTAGAAGTCACACACCTAAAATTTCTCAAATGATAGAAACTGAAGTAAAGAAACAACTAGTGTTTATATTGTTTGATTAATTTTACATGCCTATTACATTTATCTTGGGTGAATTTCATAGTATTCTTTTTTTTCTTTTTGTCTTTTTCCTTTTCATTGGTACCGGGGATCAAACTCACCACTGCCTGCTTGCAAGGCAGGCGCTTATGCCGCTGAGCTAAATCTCCAGCCCCCTCATAGTGTGTATTTAACATGGTAAGAACTTGCCAAGAGGTTTACTAACTGGTGAATCATTTTATACTTCTACCAGTCAGATACGAGCTTTTAGTTTCTTGAAACCCTCTGTTAGTGTTTGGTTTCATTCTTCTTAATTTTAGACACTCTTATAAAATAAGCGCCATTGTAGTTTTAATTTATATTTCCCAATACAATATTGTTCAACATCTTTTCTTATGTTGATTTAGCAATTATATATCTTCATTTATAAAGTATACAAGTCTTTTAATTTTTTTATTATACTGAAACTCTTTATTATTGATTTGTCAATACTGTCTTATTGAGATACAAGTATTTTATCACATTGCAAATATAGTCTGTCTGTGATTTGCTTATCCATTTTCTTAATAGTTACTTTTGATGAACAAATGTTTGAAACATTTCACTTTTTAATGACCTATGATTAATTTTTAAAAATTTTATGATTATGTCTTAAGACATGAAACTTTGCCTTGCCTTCCCTAAAACTATAAAGAATTTCTTTTACCAAAAAAAAAAAAAAAAAAAAAATTGCACGTCTATATCTCACCTAGAACAAATCCAGGAGACACAGACATAGAAGAAATTGCAAGCCACGCACTGAAATTTCTGAAACGACCACCAAAAAAAAAGTCAACAAAAACTTGGTGCTTATATTGTTTGGTAACTTTGCATGGCTATATCTGGTAGTCTGAGCAACTTGTTAGGGGATAACAATGTGCAATATGGTAACTGTTGTTCATTTCCTACTCTTTTCTTTTTGAAAAACAGTATCATTCTCTTTGTTATGTTTTGCTCCTTTTTATTGTTTTGTTCTCTTTTATTCTCTTTAAAACAAAAACAAAATAAATTTTTAAAAACATGCCTACAATCACTTACTTGATTCCAGATCATAAAATGAGTAAAGTTTCTCTGACTCAGAGGGTGTCTTTTCCATCTGTGAAGTAAAAGGGGGAAACACCAAAAACATTTTAAAAGTGCTGCAATATATAAATTAGTATGTTTGAGCACCTATAGATATTTAGATAGTTTATTTAAAAGATAATCTCCAATAGAATATCATTTGAATTACTTACATCAATAAAAACTTTCAAATAAAACCTAACTTGCAACTTGTATTTAACAGTTTTTAAATTTCTAAACAGAGCTCTTTTCAAGTTTGCATACTTTTATATTCATAAAGCACTCTATAAAATTTCAGAGTACCAAAAAAATGTTAATAAACAAAAAGAAGAACAAAGCTGGAAGAGCCTGTAATAATTGAGAGAGATTCATGATAAACCCTCTAGGGTTCTCCAAGTCGCAGTTCACAGAATCTACTTTGGCACTATATGAAAATAGGCTAAAGAAACCATTTTCATGAATCTCTTCAATTTATTGTCAGTTATCATCTAATTAATGCCTCACTGAAGAAATAAACAAAAATTATACATGCCTTGTGCATTAGTTCACAGTAGAATAGTTAAGACACAATGTAATAGATATAAATTCCTATAGCCCAAATCTAGGACCTCACACATCCTATTTCCAGAAGGAAACTGCAGTCCCTTTCAGGGAAATTATGTGCCACCAATTCCACAATTAACAGGAAAACAAGTTTTTTATCTTAAGATACTTTTTGGAATAATATACTTTCACTTACAACCTTGTGCTTGCTAGGCAGGCACTTACACCAATGAGCTCAATCCCCAGCCCCTACACTTTCAATCTTAATGTGGGTTCAATTCCAGTCTTAAATATGACCAGTAAATGCTCTGTCACATTAAAACCCAAGCATGTTTCATGAGTTGTATACTCACAAGCTTGATGACAACTCTGCCAAGAAGTCGCACAGAGTCAGGAGGATATCTGGGTTTGCAACTTTTAAGGCATTTGCATTCCTGCTTGTGGTCCTGCCAAGCTTTTTTCTGTTAAGATGAGCAGGGAACATATCAGACAAACAAAAGTTTACTTTTGAATACACTGTTTTTGAACACCGAAATCATCAATATTAACCTAATTTCAACAGCCTAAACATAACTGCAAAGTAGAAGATGAAAGTAAAGTTGTAATACTGCAAATGATCTAAGATTTGAGCTTTGCCAAGGATGCAATTACTAGGCATGGGCATTAAGAGCTTTAGCTTCACTCTTGTCTTTTATTTTGCCCTCTGGTCATTACCTGGGTGGCAGATTTCAAAGAAAGAACCAATATAATTTACTTAATAATGTATAAATAAGACAGTCATTTAACTGCCTAAAGGGGAACACACAGTCAATAAGACATAGGAATTTTAAATAAAAAAGAAAACATCACTCCAAATTAGGAAATACATCATAGCCCAGGACTATCAAAATGAAAAAGCTAGCCTTTTGAATTTCTGTGCTACTGTACCAAGTACAGAAACTTCAGAAGGTCTAACAGACCCAAAAGGTACAAAACCTTTTTGTTTTCAAAGGCAATATAGAAACATTGAGTTTTCCCAGGACTATCCAGGTTTATACTTATATTCTAGTTTAATAATTAATAATGCTCTTTTTCACTCTGAAAAGCATCTGGTTTAGAAAATAAACTATTTGATCACTCAATCCCTGATCGTGGCCATGAGCTAGTGCCTGCTAAGACCCATGAGCCAGGCTCCAACCAGTCTAGGGTAGAATGAACTACTATGCCTGAAACGTGGATCAGAAGTAGCATAGCTCCTTTCATATGCAATGACTTTCATACAGAAATAAAATTCACAGTATCTAATATTTAGCCATGGTGAGTAGAAAACTGCTAGACCAATGTCTCATGATTCTATTCTGAGACTCTGATGCATCACTGACATATCTAATGCCCCACTTACTCTTACTTCATAAATTGTATATCTGCTTCTGAATGTCTGACCCTACAGTACCCCTGTAGGAGGAGTTGCTCTTGTTTTTACTAGTAATATAAACATGCAGCACACCCAAAAATTTCAAAATCATTTCATTCTCTTAAAAACTGTGGTTCAGTTTCAAGTTTAAGTCAGTATTTTGCTATAAAAGACTGCTCATGCAGAAATTCGGTAATTGCTTGGTCTGTTATTTCCTAGTAATCTACATTTTGGAGACACTGTTTATAACACATACATCATTTCTTCCATCAAGTCTATTCATGGTTGCCTTATTCCACTGCAGCAATCTAAATGTACTGTTTGTAATCTATCTCTTTAGTATCTATCCTGCACTCATTTCTAAACAAGATTGAGCTACCTCAGTGTAAATAAGTATAAGAAAAAAGACTGGAAGAGCGAACACAAAATGCTAAAATACAGGGTGGGGGTGTGTGCTAACATTTACTCAGCATTCTAAGACACAACCTAAGAAAATAACGAAGGACATTTCATTTGATTTTCACTAAGAATTGACATTACCCTTCTAGTAAAGAGGAAAGAGGTAAGGTTCTAGAGCTGGGATATAACTACCAAACTAACTAAACACAAAAAGAGAAAGTAAAAAAATATTTAATATGCTAAACATGACAGTTAAATAATTACCATGTTTGTACATTACATTTATTTGAGTTGGCTCACAGGCAAGGCACAAAAGAAAAAATAATGGCTTACATAACTGTCATCTGACAGCATCAAAAATACATAGATTAAGCAAGTATTAAGTCACAGGAATGTCAGTCAAGATTTACCAAGTATTAAGTCACAGGAATGTCAATCAAGATACTGGACAATGTCTTCTACAACTGTAAGAAATGTTCACATAACTGCTTCCAAAGTCAGTAACTCACTTTAAGTCATAAAATCAAAATACAGCTAAGTGAAAATAAAAATTCTTTGTCTAAGAAACTAGTATTGGGCCGGGGATTTAGCTCAGTGGTATAAGTACCTGCCTGGCAAGCATGAGCTCACGAGTTCACGAGCCTGGTACCAAAAAAGAAACTAGTCTTGAACTAGCAATTACCAACATGTGTAAAATGCTTTCAACAAAATGGTTCATTCACAAGTCTAAAGAATGCCAAATCATGTAGATCCTACTTTGCAAAATTTATTGAACTTTCTAAAAGTTCTAAAAAGTTATACATTAAAGAAATTTATATAAATTATTTAACATACATTCCCATGACTGACACTGCTATCCTGTGGAAAGTAAGGTTGGTACACAATGATTCAATTGTATCTATGTACTTACTTTATTTCATCTTGTCTTTGAATGAGAGTTAAATGCAAAAATTATACTCACAATAAATTATTGATATCTATTATTAATCACTATAAGGAGAATCATAACTTTATTGGAAGAGTTTTCAGGGCAGACTATGTGGAAGAAGGAACCTCACAGTGACAAGGAATAACTCGAAGTAACTTAAAAGACACCTTTGATCTGTTGAACTGCTGAAGTACAAGAAGCACATGTCCAACTGAACACAGATTGTACTCTGAAATTAAAATAATAATAATAATAATAATAATAATAATAATAATAAGGGCAGAAATAACTTTGGACAAGAGATTTCAAAACCAGGTATAGTGGCACATACCTGTAATCCCTGCACCCTAGGAGGCTGAGGCAAGAAGATCACAAGTTTGAGTCTAGTCTGAGCAACTTAGCAAGACCCTGCCTCAAGACCCTGTCTCTAAAAAATGGACCAGATCTACCTCAGTAAATATCAATCCTAGTCTGAAGGCTGAGGGGGTTAATGAGCAGATTTTAATAATTTTTTCTCAACTATAAAAGGTCATCTGTAGCCCCATTTTAAAACTTTAACACTTGAGAAGCTCATACTGGTAACTTTCCGGAGAAAGATAACCACAAAACAACCCAGGTACTGAACAAATTGATCAGTTAAATGACATTATTTAGAAGAAAACAACCAAATTATGGACAATTCCATAGGGCTTTAACATAATTAATGCTGAGTCCTTATTTTTTAATAACAAAAACTAGACAATATGTTTCTTAAGGTTATTCCTAGACCACTGTATGAAAACATCTGGGAACATATTTACGTTCCTATTAGATTCAATACAAAACAACACTCATTCTTCTCATCTAAAAGTCAAGTCAGACCACCTAGGTGTAAATATAGGAAGTAATCATATCACTTCAAACTGATCTTATATATAGTAACATGTTTCAGCCTACTTTATTCATCATAAAAACTGAGATAATCTTTTCAAACATTAATTATTAGGATTAATTGTTCAGCTACTGACCAGATAGTTTACAAAAATAATCACACCAAAGAAAAAAATATTTTATGCAATTCCATTTGACTTTGAAGCAAAACATGACAATCATATAAAAATACTAGGCATTATCTTCTTTCTTGAAATTTCCACCTTGGTCTAGCCTCAATGATACATTAATCTTAAATATCTACATTACTCAAAAAGTAATTTTCCTGATTTTTTTTCCTTTTCCTTCCATTATTGCCAATTCAGTATGTAATTAAGATTTTGTTTACAATACTGGCTATAATGTTTTATGGTCTCATAATTAAGAACTAACAATGATATACACAATTACAACAAACTGTCATGGGAAAGAAAGGAAATTAATGTATCACATTAAGAAGTGAAACCAAAAGAAAAATTTAGATTAAAAAAGTAAATTAAAACATCTATGATACAGTTTCACATATCACTACATGCTGACTCAAAACAACTAACTTCGGAACCTACACATTTCTGTAACTTTGATGGTATTTATAACAATATTTAGGGGCTGGGGATTTAGCTCAGCGGCATAAGTGCCCGCCTTGCAAGCAGGCAGTCGTGAGTTCGATCCCTGGTACCGGTAAAAAGGAAAAAGACAAAAAAAAAAAAACCAATATTTATACTTAAACTAGTTACCAACATCAAAGGTTCCTAAAAGGAGTAATACGGATCACTCGGGCTGTATGGGAAATTTTTGATAGCATTTTTGTCACAATACTTATAGAATATGATGGTTATTTAATGAATAGGAAATGAAACAACAGAGGTTCTGTTGTAGGACAGTTTCATGCAATGAAAAAAGATTCCAAACCAAATGCAATGTTTTGCTTTTTTTCTTATTTTCTTGTTTATTTCAGGTCTGGGGAAAATTCCAGGGTCTTCTGCCTGAGATACATCCTCAACTCTTTTTAAATTTTGTATTTTGAGCCATGGTCTTGCTAAATCACTAAATTGTCTAACTTAGGCTCAAACTTTCAATCTTCCTGCCTACAGCTCCCAGAGTGCTGGGCTTATTGGTATGTACCACCATGACATGCTCCAACACGACTTTTATATCTTGCCAAATATTTTGTGACAATAAAAAAAAAATTGCTAGTAACTACTTGAGCCTAAAACTAAACTTCTTTTTACTTGATTTTACATAGTACTAATAGCACTAAAATTTTTGATAAAAGGAAGACTGCATTTTAAGAATTTTATGTAAAGTTAGTATTTCATTTCCCTGAAAACAGCACTGCCTATAGTACTGGAATTAAGAATGCAACATGTCCTCCAATACGCATTTGTACTTCCCTTTTCACAGTACTGTGCATAATGTACAAGTATAGTAGATGACAATTAATCATGTCTTCTAGTCTAATCATGCCTGAGTATTTACACAGTAAATATACATCTATCATAAATTGTTTTAATCTTTCTCCTTATAAAAATATGTAACTAAGTAGATCACATTACCATGTAAATTCATTTTAAGACAGTAATGAGGGCAATAAAAAATCTGTCATAAAAACCTGGAACTGGATCTGAGAACACCCAAAAACACTAGAACACTAACACTATGAAGAATCTGGGAAGCTAAGCAGGGCGTCTAACATCTACAGTTGACTGACAGATATTGATTAAAATCTTGCATAAAATCTCCTTAGAGCACACTAGAGATTCAATGATAGACATCAGACTTATCACTTTAAAAGTGTACTGCAAAGTTGCATCAAATACAGAGCAAAAGCA